TTCTTCGCGCCCACGGACGAATCTCGGAGATGCACCTCTGCGCCGAGCTTCACGCTGAACAACAGGAGATGGACCTGTTCGAAGAAAGACAACCAAGAAAACAACAGCAGTTAGTCTTCTACACTCAACGAAGAAACGACAACACCTAGAATCGACGCGGCAAGCAAGAACGCGACAACAGGGGACTTACCTTCGTGCCACCGTTCTGCCACAACTGCCAGACTTCCGGGCACTCCAAGGTCAACTGCAACCGCCCTCGCGTTTACCGTCCAGCAGACCCACAAGTCGCTTCCACTCAAGCAAGTCCCCCAAGGCGCTCTTCAACATCTGCACAACAAACACCAAACATTATCAATTGCATGGTACACATCGACAACTGCGCACCCGGATCACCACCCACCTACGCGCCAGACGAAGAAGAGCTGCCGCCACCGCGCTCACAAGGCCTTCAAGTCAATCCAACATATGCTGCGGTCGCCAACGCCGAACCCACCGGGCGAAACACCTGGTTCTTGGACAGCTGCTGCGGTCAACACATGTGCTCCTCGGGACGCTTCGTGCAACAGGAGAAACGCCTCAACCGCGACGTCATCATCACCGTCGCCAACAACGAAAACCTGAAGACAAAGAGACAAGGCGTGGTTCAGTTACAATCCATGGAGACAAACGTCATACTTCAGCTCAACAAAGTGCTCATTGTCGACAATCTGGGATACAACCTACTAAGCGTAAGCCAGCTAATGGCCAAGGGGATTCACCTGGAGTGCGACTCCTACTCCAACGAGTTTCGGCTTTACCACGGGAAGGGCGGCCTCTTCATCGGTCGTGCCCTCTTGAAGTCCGGCATCTTCGTGTTGGACTTCGTCCCCGACCGCGGTACTGCCGACAGCGACGGTATCGTATCGTTCGCCGCCTGGACTCACCCGCCAGATCTTGATCCTGACTTCGACAGTGACGGCTTCTGGCACTCCAACACCATACCTGCAGCAGAGAGAACACGAGCATTAGCAGTTATCAGACAAGAAAGACAAGTACCCGCACGTATCCCAACCAAACCATCACCTGCAGTATCGGCAGCAGGACCCAGCCGAGTCCCACCACCAGCGACCCGAGGACCGCCAACCGAAGCAGACCAGCTTATGCCCATCACACGAGAAGTTTGTCGAAGTCCCGCCTCAGTCGTCGCGTTCTTCTCCAACGCCGACATCTACCACCGCTCGCCCGGTCATCGCGCTTCCGACGACATCTGGCACCAACGTCTCGGACATCCTGCAAACAGCACGATACTACAAACAATCCAAGCAGAGGTGTTAGAACGCAGCGCCCTTCTAACGACGAGCGGCCAAGAACTTCGACGACCACGAGCACGGTGCTTCACGTGCCCCGAAGCAGATCTTCCTCATCAACCTTTCCCATCTCATCACAACCCAAGCGCACCTACTTACGCTCCGATGGAAAAGGTCTACAGCGAAATTTTAAACATGCCTCGAGAAGACACCGAAGCCGACTTCAACTACGTCATCACGTTCATCGACGCAGCAACCAGATACGTTTGGCACTTCAATCTCAAAACGCGCGATCAAGCCTTCGAGGCCTTCACCACATGGCTTCCCATCGCCGAACGAGAATCAGGAACCAAGCTCAAGAGCTTCCAGTCAGACGGTGCACTGGAATACCAGTCACAACGCTTCAGGACCTATCTGGCGGAAAGAGGAATCCGACGCCTGGTGTCTCTGCCCTATGCTCACCAGCAGCAGGGGGTAGCAGAACGCATGAACCGGACCTTGCAGACGACGATGCGAAAACTGCTTCTGGGGATGAGGCTGCCCACCACACTGTGGCCAGACGCGATGACACATGCCGTTCACCTGCACAACCTGCTGTCCTCGTCATCACTTCCCAACAACGCATCACCGCACCTGTTGTGGACAAGAAAAAGGGGCAGCACAAAATTACTCCGAGTTTTCGGCTGCATGGTACAGTACAGACCCCACACAGCCCGAGCAGGACGCTTCACACAACGAGCTAGGTGGGGACTACACCTCGGCATCGCAAAACATTTTCACGCGTGGAAAATTCTCGACATACAAGACAAAAATACCGTGGCATCACGTGATGTTATTTTCTACGAGCGACTGACGCTGCAGCATTACCTGGACAACATTGCCAACACACAAGACCCCACCGACGGCTTCTCGGGACTTCGTTCCTTCGCCGACCGTGCTGCCGAAGCTGACGCAGCAGAAGAAGACGTACCTGAAGCCTCGGAAACTGCCGGACCACTCCCATTCTGTTCCGTACCTGTTCCACTCGACGAAGACAATCCTCTCGATAGCAACAACCTCGACACCTTTTACCACTTCGCTGACCAAGGTTACATTACACCCCACCCAGTCGACACAAATGTTTCAGAACGCATCGGTCCCAACTTCTTACCTGACCCAGAAGACGGTGACGAAGCAGCTTATTCCGGGAATGAAAATTCCCCTCGACACACACCCACGGGACTGCAGATTCTAGGCCTCTGGGTCTCCGTCCAGCATCCGCCGCCGCCTTCTCCGCAAGAGCCTTCAACCTTGTCGCAGGCTCTGGGGGGGGAACATAAGGCGAAATGGAAGGAAGCGATGGAAAAGGAGTTAAAGGCTCTGCAAGACCGGAAAACATGGAAACTGGTACCTGCAACAAGCATCAACGGAAAAAAAGTCCTCTCGGGGAAATGGGTGTACCGCATTAAAACCAACTCAGACGGCTCCATCGAACGATTCAAAGCTCGATGGGTCGTACGAGGCTTCGATCAACGATACGGGACCGACTACACAGAAACCTTCGCTCCAGTCTCCCGTCACACCTCATTACGCATCCTACTCGCCGTCGCGGCCACGAAGACATTACCACTACGCCAAATCGACGTCGCAAATGCGTTCCTATACGCACCTGTGGACGCAGAGATTTTCGTCGAACAACCCCACGGATTCATCAACGACCCCACGAAAATATGCCAACTGACAAAATCCCTATACGGGATCAAGCAAGCCCCGCGGCTCTGGCAACAGCATCTCCACGGTCGTCTCGCAAAAATCGGATTCCTACAACTGCCGCATGACCAAGGGATGTACCGACTGCAGAAGGGAAGAGAGTATATCCTACTCATCGTCTACGTCGACGACCTGCTCTACATCGGCTCCACTACCGACATCGCTACCTGGTTCGAAGGGGAGCTGAAAGAAGACTTAACACTCACGGTGTCCGACGAAGTGACCCAGTACATAGGACTGAATGTCGTCGAAGACGACACGGCGTTCTACCTACACGCTGGAAAGTACTCAGGCACCATCGCGAAGAATTTCGGTCTAACACCGACTACGGTCCCAACTCCCTACCGCTACGGGAACAACAACAGCACCTCCGCAAAACTCCCCGCGAAGCAAATCCAGGAGTATCAACAGAAGCTCGGCTGCCTACTGTTCGCAGCAGTAACCTGCCGACCCGACCTGTCCTATAGTGCGAGTCAACTGGCGACGCATCTGAAGCAACCGGAACAGGAAGATCTCGAGGAGCTCAACCGGACACTACTCTACTTCGTCTCCACACCGACGACCGGACTTACCTACAGCAAAGCGACAACACCGTCCGTACGACTACTCGGATACGTCGACGCCGACCACGCAGGAGATAGGGTAAATCGACGATCTAGGACGGGCTATATCTACCGACTAGAACCCATCGGAACTATCTCCTGGCAGTCGAGCAAGCAGGAGTTAATCGCACTATCCTCGGCTGAAGCAGAGTATATCGCCCTTTGTACTGCGACCAAGGAAGGACTCTACCTACGGGAGTTACTCGAGGAAGCGAAGATTGCGACCCTGCCCGCCTTCTCACTCCTCTGCGACAACCAATCTGCGATCAAAATCGCGAACAAGGACGGCTTCGCCAACCGAACCAAGCACATCGCCCTGCGGTACTTCTTCGTCAAGGATGAAATCGCGAAGGGGAGACTTCAACTCAGTTACTGCCCAACGACAGAAATGGCCGCAGATTATCTGACGAAGAAATTGGCGAAAGCAAAATTCGACTACTGCATGCTCCTGACCGGGCAAACAAACGTCACCGGATCTGAACATTCCAGCACTCCAGAAACGAAGGGGAGTGTTGGAAATATCTCAAAGGACTTGAGCGTTTCTGAAGTGTAACACTGTACTCAAGGAAGATTACAGGGGAGCACGCGAGTCAACGGAGGTTACACGAGGGGGCGGACAAAGAATGCGAAAAGACTCGAAAGGTCGCAACTGGAGGTTGCGACTGACCGTTACAACATCACGGATGGTAACCGAAGCGGCAATCGAGTCGCTGTGCGACTCGATAAACCGTTCCTGTAACTGTATTCTACAACTGCCTTCCTATCTTCTATATATTGCTTTATGCTTGTTTCTTTAATCAATCACTTGTTCTCACATACTAGTACAAGGGTTCAACTGCCTCAACTTCCGCTGCACTACTCAAGTCTCATTCTACAACTGGGACTTAGTCTCTGCAAAGATCCTAAGGGCTTTTCTCAGCCCAACATAGTGAAATGTAGTGCATTCTCTAATGAAGAACCATAAAAAAGGCTCATACAAAAGTTTGGCTATGACTCTGATATTGAGTGACCCGCTGGGGTTGCCCTTGAGATCCTCGGGGAAGGGCCACAGGTGCAGAGCCTGGGGGGCTATGGGCGCACTTACCCGCTATTCAACAAGCCCTTTTAACCCAGTGGTTAGTGACTGGGTTTCTGACATCTGATTGGTCAGACTAACAATCCATGGCTACTCTGATTTTTCAGAGTTTTTCAAGGAGGTGACTCTGACACCCATACCAAGGGAAGGCAGGGGACTCTGACGAACCAGACAGGCCCAAAACCAATTTGGGGGCCTGTATACGGGGCAGGGATATAATCACAGATATACGGTGCCCCCTGTACACGGACCATCAGAGTGGTACAAAGGTTTACTCGGATAAAATCAGAGCAAAAAATAGATTCATTTTTTTTACTCAAGGCTCCAAGAGTAGTTCTAAAAATAGACTCTGATTTTCAGAGTAAAAGAGTAAATTACTCTGATAAAATAGGACTTGGTGCTGGGACAGGATGCCCCGCCGAACCACACAAAGCTCTGGAAGATGGGCTCCGCGCTGGGACCATTCCTGAGGTGCCTCCAAAGTGGTCCCAACCAACCAACCAACCAAAATAGGTCTATATCTGAGGCGTTTCTGCAATGAGGTGCTGGCACAGGATGTCCACTCCGATCCACGCGAAGCTCAGGAAGATGGGCGCCACGCTGAGCCCGAACCTGCGAGCCTCCTGCTGCACGCGATGCACCTCCGAAGGGTGGTAGCACACGTGGTACCACGCGAAGGCGCGCGCTCGAGCCGTGGCGTGGTCCAGACGGGTGGGCTCCTCCGCACCCTGCCAAACACATACAGGGTAGCTTGCTCTAGTCAGCTCACATGGAAAAAAAAAACAAAAAAAAATGTTTCACCTAGTATGTGGGAAGCTGTGGTGTGGAGTCATGGCATGGAAAATAAACAAACTACTCTCCCGTGCTCAAGGGGCGAACCAAGAAGCAGGAGCAGAGAGCACCCTCCCACTCCAGCACTGACCTCGGGTGTCGCCTTGTTCTCACTGGCTGCAGCGTCGGCCACCATGGCCTTGATCCCCTGCACCACGTTGACCTTGGACGTCACGCGCAGCCGTGTATCCTTCTGCTGCTGCCGCTGCCGCGAGCGAGCGGCGGGGGACGAGGCATCGTTGTGGTTGTGGTCGTTGTCGTCGTCGTCGTTGTCGTCATCTCCCTCCCCCTGGTTCGGCCCGCACACGAGCAGGCGGTGGTAGTGGCGGCGCAGCATGACAAACATGTTGCGCACGTGCTCGCGCACCGCCTCGTCCTTTCGCCCGCTGCGGTGCGCCGCGTGCAGCATGCTGCCCGACGCCACCTCCGCCTCCGACATGATGCCAAACTGCACCCCGGGCACAAGGATGTGCCGGCACGCGCATGCACACACACAAAGCAAAATGCTCGCACATGCCAAACGGCAGAATGCAACACTCAACGGAAGAGAGTACAGGCCAGCAGCAGCAATTCTACGTGCACAAGGAGGCGCGCAAGTTCTACGTACCTACATTGGGAATGAGCGGGTGGAGAATGTGCAGCATGGAGTGGAGCGGACATACGCCCGTTTCAGCACCCTCGCCTCCTCCACATGCTGACTCTTTGAGTTGACTCTAAGGGTGACTCTTGAGTGGACTCAGCGACCACCTCGGTTTAAATCTACCTGCATGGACTCACCTGGTGCAGAATGTGCAGGATGGAGCGGTCATACGCCCGCTTCAGCACCCGTGCCTCCTCCACATGCTGCTCATACCCCTCCACCTTCAAATCCTCCCTGTACGCGCGCCCCACCTCCTCCACCCCCGGCCACCGCAGCCACGTTCTCCTATCCTCCAGCACCGCCAGCTCCCCCTCCCACCCCGTGCCGTCGCCCGCCCCCTCCCGCACCTCCCTCACCTGCCTCGCCGCCTCCTCCTCTCGCTCCCTCCTCTCCTGCGCCATCTCCTCTGCGCCCTCCCCCTCCTCCTCCGCCACCCCCGGCACCACCCTCGGATAGTCATCATCCTCCTCCCCAATCACCGTGTCCTTCACCTGCCGATACAGCTTCCCAAGTACCTTGTCCGATTCATACATCTCTTTACTCGCGCCCTTTTCCATGAAGTCCGGGTACTCGTGCACTTTGAGGTCGCGCGGCATCTGCCCTGGGACGCCTGTCTTGGGGAAGTCGAAGGCGATGGCGGCTTCGCGCGCCAGGCGGAGGCATGCGGGGTCGTCGGCCTGGTGGGGGCTGCGGTCCGCGTGCACCACGTGTGCGTTGCAGATGATGCCCACGCTGTCGTTCAGCATGTGGTCCACAAAGAACCGGTGCACGTCCTGACCAGGGGGGGGAGAGGTGGAAGATGGGGTTGATGAGCAGGATTGGCCTTGCTATACGTGTGTGGGAAATGCTCGAGTATGCGACAATGGAAGCAGAGGCGAACAAGGAAGGAGAGCCACAAACAAGAGGAGGGAGAGGAAGGCCGCAGGGAGGGCCAGGAAACCCATAGGGAAGGCGGGGAGCCCCACCTTCATGGTGACAGCGGCTTTTCCCTCCTTCTTCACCGGCTCATAATCCATCGGCTCACTGCTCTTCCCTCCAGGCGGCATGAGCCGCCCGTCCCACGTCACAAAGTACACATCCCCATCCATGTCGCTGCCTGATGCCTCGTTGGCGTGTGGGCGCGGGCCGTTCTTGGGAAGGACGAGGCAGTCCACCAGGTGGCGCAGGCATGGGATGTCCACGGCTGTTAGAAGGCGCAGGTCGCCCGGATGCAGGCATGGGTTCTTGCCGAATAGAATGGGGCCGGTGATTACTTTGGGTGGGCCGAGCCCGCGGCCGGTGCTGTGGACCGTGGTTGCGGTGACTGGGGGTTCGGAGGTGGAGGAGGAGGGGGGTTGTGAGGGGGTTATGGGTACCGTGGTCTCGCATACTTGGATGAAGCATTGGCCGTACTGTGTGAATGGAGCATGGGGAAGGGGAAGGCCAAGGGACACGGAAGAAGCATACTGATTGGGGCATCACTTGAGAGGGCATGGGAGACCATCATGGCGTTGTCAGTGTGTATCCGGACCTCCTTCAGTCCATTGCTCACCACACTAACGCACGCTCTCTCCCATCACCTGCTGCTCCACCTCTGTTTGTTCCAGATGGCATTGCCCGCCTGTGTACCTCGACACTCACCTCCGGCAACATAAAAAACCTGGACTTATAACACATGAGTTTACCCGCCCCCACCCCCCTCTCACCCCCTCTTCATTCCCCCCTCAACCCCCCCTCACCCCCCTGCACCCCCCCTCACAAACTCCCACAACCCCCTCATCCCCCTCTCACCCCCCTCTCACCCCCCCTCTCACCCCCCTAACCCCTCTCTCACCTCCAGCAGCCCCGTCTCGTCCACCACACCCATGAGCCAGCGCCCCTCCTTCACGAATATGCGCGCCTTCGATATCAGCCCCTGCAGCTGCAGCGAGCTGTAAGGGGCAGGGGTCGTAGGGTGGGTGGCAGAGAGGGGGAGTAAGTGGCAGGCGGGACAGGGAACACAGGATGGGTTTTGAGGGATTGGCATCATAATTACAGGAAATTTGGGCAGTGAACCGGCAATGCGAGAGACGAGAGGTCGAAAGCATGAAAGCACCTTTCCTGCAGAACATTCACGAGCTCTGACTGACGTGCGAAACTCGCATCTGCCGCGAACCGCCGCCCATCAGTCCCACAAAAAACCCATCCGTAACCCCGCAGCACCCCTCCTCACCGCACGGCGCGCATCATGCGCTTGAGGTGGGGCTCGTCGTCGGGGCGGAAGCCTGCTGAGAGCATGGTCATGGCGACGTTGTACAGGTCGTCTGCACACGACTCCTCCAGCAGCTGCAGCGCCGCATCCCGCTCACTCAGCGCACGGTCCAGCTGCTGCAGCATGGCATCCTGGGGGTGGGTGGGGGGGGACGGCGGGAGAGGTGGATGGGAGGAAGTGAGGAATGTGATTCGAGGAGCCAAGAAGAGGCGTTTGCCGCCTCTGCGGCTCCTCTAGCAGCTGCAGCGCCGTGCCCGCTCACTCAGCGCCCGGTCCAGCTGCTGCAGCATGGCATCCTGGGGGTGGGTGGGGGGGGACGGCGGGAGAGGTGGATGGGAGGAAGTGAGGAATGTGATTCGAGGAGCCAAGAAGAGGCGTTTGCCGCCTCTGCGGCTCCTCTAGCAGCTGCAGCGCCGTGCCCGCTCACTCAGCGCCCGGTCCAGCTGCTGCAGCATGGCATCCTGGGGGTGGGTGGGGGGGGACGGCGGGAGAGGTGGATGGGAGGAAGTGAGGAATGTGATTCGAGGAGCCAAGAAGAGGCGTTTGCCGCCTCTGCGGCTCCTCTAGCAGCTGCAGCGCCGTGCCCGCTCACTCAGCGCCCGGTCCAGCTGCTGCAGCATGGCGTCCTGCACGGAGCAAAGACGGGGGGGGAAGGGGCACAAGGTGATTCATTCAGCAGCTGCAGCGCCGCATCCCTCTCGCTCTGCATGGCATCCTGCAGAGCAGGGAGTGGGGGGAGGGGAGGGGACAGCGGCGGCGGGTGATGGTCATGAGGAGAGGGGGACAGGAGGGAAGGGAGGAATGTGGTTTGAGGAGCGAAGAAGAGGCATCTGGCGTGCGTGCATGAGCTGCGGTCAGTGTGTTAACAATCTCGTTTTAAGACGTCTCAAAACGAAAGTACAAACACACGTCCTGCATGGGGGGTGGACAGGGTGCGTGCATGAGCCACGGACGCTTTTGGTGGTGGTGGGGGTGGTGGAGAGCGGAGGAGAGAGCGAAGGGAGGCAGGGAGGGAGCACAAGCGGCTGCGGCGCACCTGCATGAGTTGGAATATGTGGTCCTGGACCCCCATGGTGGCGAGCAGCGTGATGATCTGGCGGTTGAGGAAGCACGGCAGGGGGCGCGTCCAGTTCACCACCTCCACATCCGCGTGCTGCGACTCAAATTTATCCATGCTCGGCCGGATCCACATGTGCGTCCTCGCCCCTGCTCCTGCTCCTGCTGCTGCTGTGCGCTGCATGCTGCTGCCTTGGACCACTGCATCGCCACTCCCATTGCCACTTGCTGCTGCTGCTGCGCCCTCCTGCCCTGCATGCACCCACCAGTCTCCCGCAAAGTCCCCCTCGCTGAACATTAGATTCACCGCCTGCTGTTGCGCCAGGCTAACAATCTGAGTGCCGTTGCTGCTGCCATTGCCGGCCCCATCCCTGTCCCCACCTGCCTCTCGCTCCACTTGCTGCATGACCCACCGCGGCCACACCGTGATCACCCCCTTCACCCCCGCATACCGGATCTGAAACGCTGATGGCGATCGCAGCAATGATCTCGCCTTCTCCCTCCTGCTGCCCTGCTCCACTCCAACACCCACACCGCTGCCAGCCCCATTACCGCTTGCACCATCCTTGTCTATCCCACTCCCACTCTCCTTCTCCTTCCCACCCCCACTGTCCTTCTCCATCTCACTCCCACTCTCCTCCTTCCCACCCCCACTCTCCTTCTCCTTCTCCCTCCCACTCTCCTTCTCCTTCCCACCCCCACTCTCCGTCTCCTCACTCCCACTCTCCTTCTCCTTCCCACCCCCACTCTCCTTCTCCTTCTCACTCCCACTCTCCTTCTCCTTCTCCCTCCCACTTTCCTTCTTCTCACCCCCACACTCCTCCTTGTTCCGACTCCCACTCTCCTTCCCACTCCCACTGCCAATTTCCTTCTCACTCCCGTTCACACCCCCTTCCACAGCCACCCCTGCCTCACCAGCCCTACCACCAACCTCTCCACTCTCTCTCTCACCCGCATCCCTCCCCCCATCGCCCCACCCCTCCCCCACGGGCCTGTCAAGGTACTGCGCAATAGCATCCGCCAGCGCCTTGGCGGCCTCGGGGGAGACGGCGCCCACACCATCCGTGAAGCAGTAGGGGCCGCGCGTGACGTCGGGCAGCTTGCGCACGTGTGCGCGAGGGAGGGGGAGGGAGGTGAAGCGCGAGGAGAAGCACTGCCCCATGCGCGCCGCACACTTGGCCACGTTGCGGATGGCAGAGAACGTGCCCATCCACGCCTGGGAGCACAGACGCAGTCACGCACGCACGCTCGCACACACACACACACAGAAGCACATCATAGGATAGAGATGAGTGTGGTGGTTCGCGCTAGGCCACGTTGCAGATGGCAAAAAACGCCACTTCCGCACTCCCCCACTTGTCCCCCCGCTCCACAGCTCCCCTGCTACCGCACTCCCCCACTTCCCCTCACACATCCCCTCACAAAAGGCGCCCAAAACAGACACAGAGCATACACAGAGAGTGGGAGGTAATAGAGGTCGTGAGGGGGGTGGAAAGCAATGGCAGGTGGAAGCTAGATTGGCAGTGCATGCAGGAGTGCGTTGCGTACGAAGGAGGTGTGAGCCGGTACGCACCTGCACGGAGGCGACAGTGAGTCCCAGTGAGGCGTCTTCAGCCAGGAACCACGCGGACTTCTCCCGCAGCTGAGAGGCTGATGACGCAAGGAAGCTGTAGCGCCGCCCGCACACGGAGAAGCCCTGGGCGGGAGAGGGGCGAGGGGACAGGTGGGGTGGGGCGTGTGGGGTAGGGGGGAGTGAAGAGCTGGGCGCTGGTGAGAGGGCGAGGAGGGAATGCGCGATGGCAACATGAGATGCGAAGACGTGAGAGCCTGAGGTACTTAAGAGCTGGTGTAGGGTTTGGAAAAAAGGGGGCAGATGAAGAAAGGGATGACGTGACTTGGAGAGAGACGGACGTATTGATGAATCAACAAAACCAGCATGCCACCCATGCAACCTCCATGCACCGTGCATCCTCTGTGCAGGTCCGCATTGCAGACAGAGCGAAGTGGGTAGGTGGTTGTGGGGTGGGCACAGTAGACAACCCTGCAATGCACAGCTGCAGCCATGGGCAGATCAGCACAGTCAGCCACCCTAACAAATCGGCGACACCTCTCCCATCCTGCGACCGCTCACAGGGACACCTAACCAGCAGCCCGGCCCAGCCTGGCTCAGCCCAGCCCAGCCCAGCCCGGCCCAGCCAAGCCCAGCCCAGCCCAGGCCAGCCGTCACCTCTTCCACGAGGCTCAGAATCCGCCAGTACACGTTGGTCACCCCGTTCCCCCCCTCGCGCTTGGCAGCGGCGTCCAAGAGCGCATAGGCGGGCAGGTTCTCAAGGCCCTCGTCCGTGAAGGTGACGCGCAGGAAGCGGTGCGCGTGCGGGCGGTAGTGCGTCAGCACACGGTTGGTCAGCTCCACGTTTGGCATGCAGCACTGCGCGCCCAGGGGGGTTATGAGCACACGGAACACAAGCACGTGGTTCTCAGGTAGCTTCCACGGCCACGTCTTGCTCTCGCTCTCGCTATCATTCTCGTTCTGGCTCGCTTCTCCTGATTTGTCCCCCACATCTTGCTCCTGTTGCTGCTGCTTCTGCTTCTTTGGTTGTTCTTCCTGCTCTTGCAGCTGCTTCTTTTGCTCTGGAAATTTCTCTACCGCTCCCCACTGCTCTGCACCCTCCTCGTACTTCTCCTCACTCTCCCGCCCTTCCCCCTTCCCTCTCTCCACCACTTCCCCCTTCCTTCTCTCCGCCCCACTCCCTCGCAACTGCCTCTCCCCCTCCTTTTCCTTCCCCTCCCTGAGCTGCAGCTTCCCATGGTGGCGCATGGCCCGGGCCACCTGGCGGAACTTCCTCGCGGGGTCGAACTCAGGGCGCGAGAAGCGGAAGAACTCGATCAGCACCGCCACCGCAGCCGGCACGGGCTCGTACGCCAGGGTGTTGTACAGTCTAGGGGTTACGGCCGTCAGGGGGATGGTGCCCTGCTGGACCAGTGCTGTGAGGAGATAGAGCACAGGGAAGGGGAGCACGGTAGGCTGGGCAGATCTGCTGCTGCTGCTTGTGATGGTGCTGGGTTTGCTGGTGCCGGTACTGCTGGTAGCGGCGGCGGTGGCAGAGGGGGTATTGGGACGCCAGGAGGGGTCGAGGGACACGAAGGGAGCGAGGTGGATGGGGGTTTGAGCAGCAAAGCGCGCAGTGATGGCTACGCGCTGGGGGTCCCCCAGGTACCGCGCTTTGAGGTGCAGCGACGCCGTGCGCATGTGCTGCGCTATGCGCCGCACATAACTGCCGCGCCGTACCGACACCGACACCTGCATCACTGACGCCGCTCCCAACACCCCTCCACTCCACACCCTGCCGTCCCATGCACCCACACCAACACCACCGCTGCCAATGCCACCACCATTGCCGCTGTCACACGGGCCCCCACCAGCACGCCCCCCTCCATCATCCCCAACGCCCCCACACGCGCCTGCTGCTGCCCGTCTCCCCGCGCCTCCCCTCCCGCCCGCGGGCAGAAAGTCCTCATCTGTGGTTCTGGTCCACGGGTCGCCGTCATCCGGGAACCAGTTGTCGGGCGCCAGCTGCCACACGTCGTCGTCACACGCACGTGAGTACACAGCGGGCGGCACGAAGAGGAGGAGCAGGAGGGACGAGGTGAGGCCGGGGCCGTCCCGGTCACGCGTGCTGGCGTCCTTGGTGCCCCAGAGCCGCACTTCGCGCATGCGCCACTCCAGCTTGTACTCCACGCGCTGGAAGGCAAGGGGGATGGCGCTGAGCGGTGCTGCAGCAGAAGCACCAACACCCGCAGCACCGGCAGCACCAGCAGTACCCAGCCCACCAGTATCCTCTGCTGTCTCCACCACCCCTGATGATGCTGCCGTTCTGCCTACCCCCCCTCCTCCAACCCCCCCCTTCTCCCACACCACCACCCGCACCCTCCTCTCCAGAAAATCAAACTCCACCCGGCAGCTCTCGGGCTTCGACCGCCACGTCAGCGCCAGCTGGCAGGGCTGTTGAACGAACCCCAGGTGCACAGTGGCATCAAAGAGCAGCCCCTCAGGCGGGCGCCTCTGCTCCATGGTGCGCTGCAGCGCGAGCTGCTGCCCCTTGAGCACCAGCGCCTCCTCCCTCTGCATCACAAAGTCAGCCACCTCCGCTGTGAGGAAGTCCGCGTACCCGTACCCCGACGACACCCACTCTTCCTTGTACCGCGTGCCTGCAACCACCACGCCCTCTCCTGCTACTCCTCCGCCTTCCACTCCCCCTCGCCCACCTGCCCTCTGCCTGCTCGCTCCGCTGCTGCCGCTGGTGCTGGTATCAGCAGCAGGCAAGGCCTTGATGCGGGTGTACCCCTTGATCTTGACTCGGTCCACTGTCACGCGTAGAGTGTCTCGGATGAAAGCAGCCACTGTCGCTGCAGTGATGTCCGGTGGAATGCGGTCGATGCGGATCTGAGCCGACGGCTTGCGACTGCTGGGCCGCTGACCACTGCTCCTGCCGCCGCCGCCGCCGCTGCTGCTGCTGCTGCTGCCGGTGGTGGTGGGTACCTCTGTAGCGCCACCAGTGCGGTCAGCAGCAGGCGTGCCAGCTTCACTCTCCCCGCCCTCTCCATTCCCAGCACCAGCACCGGCACCACCAACAGCAGCACCAGCAGCAACACCTCCCGGACCATTCCCGGCATCCCCATGGGCGTGCAAGGCAGCAGGCGGCCAGCGCAGGGCGTCCATCTCAGCAGCGAAGGCCGCCGCAGCAGTGGGGCCGATAAGCGACGCCAGAGCCGCGTCCAGGTCGCTCAGAGCATTGCTGCCGCTGGGAACGCTGCTCGGGGGAATGGTGCTCGTGACGGCACTGCCAGAGCTGGTGACAGAGCTGCTGTCCCGCGGGAGAATCATGGCGCCTGGATGCCACTGCCCTCCCCGCCCGCCCTCCACACTCGCACTGCTCTCACTCCCTCCCCTCCATCTCCCACTGCTGCTCTCCCCGCCGCCCCTCACTCGCTCCTGTCCTCCTATGCCCACCCTACCACCGCCCGTGCCAGCGGCAGGTGCAGCCAGCATGGCAGCAGGTAAGCCACCGCCGTCGCCTCTCTCTCGCCTCTCCCTCCCCCCATCACCGTTCCGCCAATCCGCACCTTCCCGCACATCCCATTGGCGCGCGGAAGGCTCTCCCCCCGCTCCCAGGCCTCCGCCTGCTCGTGCGCCCCATTCTCGCGGCTGTGCCCGCCAGGAGTCATGCCCGTTCCCATGCCCGTTCCCATGCCCGTTCCCATGCCTGTACTCATGCCCCTGCCCCTGCCACTCTCTCGGCGCAAGCGGCTCTCCCGAGCCACGCCACTGGGCGCGGCTGCTGGGCTCGCGCGCGGTGCTGTGCGCGGAGCCGTGCGGGGAGCCGTGCGCGCGGGGAAGCGCGGAGCTGCTAGTACTAGCGCCGGAGGCTCCTGCGGCGGCGTGCGGCGCGCGGCGGGAGGGAAACGCGCGGTCCACGCTCGCCGAGGCCGCCGCGGCCGCGGCGGCGGCGGCGGCGGCAACGGAGGAGACAGAGGAGAGGCGCGAGGAGTGCGAGAGAGGGAAGGACTGCTCGGACTCCGTCGCCATGGTGCTGACGACGACCGGTGGTGCGCGCGAATGACAGTAACAATTACTGGCAGGTGAGACAGGGAGAAGTTACGACGGCACGACGGGGGGGCGTGAGAGAGGGAAGGACTGCTCGGACACGGGCGCCATGGTGGTGGTGACGACGACGGGTGGTGCGGGCGAAATAGTGGCAGACAGGCTGCAGGGAGAAGTTAGGATGGCATGACGGCGGAGTTGGAGGGGGAGGGAGGAGAGCAAGCAGCAGGGCGGGAACGGGAGGGGGGGAGAAGACGAGTGTGGGACCGGGTTCGATCAGTAGCTGCTGCCCATGGCTGCCCGCTGCGGTCGGGAAAGAGGTTGCGACATATGCTCCTTTCTATGATGTATCTAAACGCCGACTAACATGCATGAGAGCCCGTCGCTGCTAGTTTCGCTCGTGCTGTGTGAATGTGATGTTGTCAGCTGAACCGAATTGAGTGCAAGGGTAGACTGCCCAGCAGGGCGTGTCCGTTTCCACAATCATGTCCGAACCTTGCAGTTCACCACATGTAGCCACGCTGTGGGTCGGTTCGGATGAGCTCAGCGACATGCACAACCTACATGGTACATAGGGAGTGGAAATGCTGCTCGAACGCACTTTCGAAAAGGTTCAAGACGATACTGCTGGTTTTTTATAGGTTACGGCTTGATGAAGTGTGGTGGTCGTTCAGGTTTGGCCGTTCGAACAGCCGATGTACCACGCCGCACAGCAGCGCAAATCACCTGCCCGTTCGGCACGGCACGCTTTTGTTCTGTGAAACTCAAGTCATAGAGCCGATTTCAATTTCGGTCAGGGTTCCGAAATGTATGCTGGTAACCAGATCGCCGAGGCCCAAGTTGCTGTGACAACTTTCGCCGGAACTCAAAAAGGAAATCCCGGGATCGCTACCACGCTTAGAAACGAAGGTAGGCAGACGTTGCGGACCGGTAACCCGAGCGTTACACGGGATGAGATCGTACTACATTCGAGCTCAGACCGTTGCGCACGACTTCAGCCTGAACAGTTCTCTCCCCCAGGTCCAGTCCACACACACCTCTCATTCCGCTGCTCCTCCCGCGGCGGGTTTCCGGCGCCTAGCTGTTATGGCGCCCTCCCGCTCATTCGACGATCGCGCCGCTTCCCCCCCACCGTGCCGCTGCTTCACCTCCCCTCCCCCCGCGCATTCGCTCCGCTCAACTTCCGCCCATCCTCTCCCTGTTCATTCTGCGCCCGACTTGCACCCCCCTGCGCGCCATTTTTCCGTGTGGTCCAAGCGGCGGCTCTCCGCTGCCCCCCCCGCCAGTGCGGAGGTCCCCCGTGAGGGCCCGTCACACGGCGGGCCCGCGACGGGCGACGGGAATCGCCGCGCGGCGTGGCACGAGAGCAACGTCGCACGGTCGCTAGCGACGAACGCGCGACGGTTGCAGAGGCAGCTTCGTCGCCTGGCGGTTTGTCATGGCAGGTGAGGGGTGGCCAGAGCTGTCGGGGAGAAGAGGGGTGGGGGGAAGGGCTCCGGGAGGGGTGCGGAAATGAGAGAGAGGCTACTACCCGAGAGGACGGAGGTGAGGAGGCGTGCCATATGCTGCCCCCCTGGCTGGTGTGAGCCGCCCATTCGCCACTATGCTTACCGACCAGCTTTTTGCTTGCTTGCACGCGCCGCGCCGCGATGCAGCATGCACGCTTCACAGCAGCGAGCATGAGAGGCGTGCCTCTGCGATGAGTCATGCTGGGTGTACTACTCGGATGGGCGATGCAGCATGCCTCTCCGATGAGTCATCATATTATCTTCCCTTCCTTGCCCCATCCATCCAGTACCTCGGCACTCGTGCGTATGTAATACATTATACATGTACATGCATGTGTCTCAACCAAAACCAAGCTCAGCTTTCCCTCATGCATCCCTCCCTCCTCCTCCTCTGCTTTCTCCCTCCATCCATCCATCCCTTCATCCACCCATCGGACCCTCTGACCCTCCACCCCTGTCTCTGCCCCTCTGTGAATCTTTGCTATTTTCCTGCCCCTTTTCGATCCCTTCCGGTGTGTGTGCATGTGTGTCGGTGCGTGTGTCTCTAACTCCTCCAAGGCATTTGAACCTTGGTGTGGCGGTCGTACACCTTCCATCCGGGCAGTCCGCAAATGTTCGAGCTGCCCGGCAGTTCCCCTTGGCCAGCGTGGCGAAGCTGCCTCTTCTCTTCGCAGCAGCGCATGCCATCCACTGCCCCTGCCCGTGCCACTCCGCACACCGCCCTCACACCCCTGCGTTACCCCTGGCCTCCTGCACCAGTGGCAGCGGAAGCATCACCGGGGATTTCCTATCGTGTAAGGTCCGCACCTTTGACATCAACCCCCTCCCTCCCTCCCTACCGAACCACCCCTCCCCTCCATCCTCTATGCAACTGCATCCCCTCCTCGCGCCTTTGGCCATCAGCGCCCAGGCATGCCATGCCCCCCTCCTTCCTTCACATGTTCTCTTTCCGTTTCCATCTGCTGCAGTAGCCTGTCCTCGCCTGCATTGCATCTATTTTCAGTTCACTGCACTCATCATCCTGCTTGCCAGCCTCTTTTCTTTGCTGGGAAACAGTCGGTCGCATTGTCCTCTCCCCTCATTCCCGTTCCCGCCCCCGCCCGTGCCACTCCTCAGCAAGAGGCCTGACCCTCAGCACCGTGCTGCAAGTGCGGGAGGAGGACAAGTGCATTGGCAGTGGCGTCATGTGGTCCCTACCCAGGTGCCTCCTTCTCTTCTGCTCCCGCCTCCTCTCTCAAGCAGTCCTTATATTCCCTCTCACTCTCCTTCCTACTCTGCGTTCGCCCTTCTTGCTGCAACCAAGTGCAGCTACCGCTCTTGGATGTATGCCCAGTACGGTGTTTGCTGAACTACCATCAGTCAGTGTCACGTGCACTTGGCAACTTCCTTGAGTGCATGGTGTCATTGTACCACGCCTGCATAGAGCAAGTGCAGCAACAGAGCAAGTGCAGCCATAGAGCAAGTGCAGCCATAGAGTAAGTGCAGCCATAGAGTAAGTGCAGCCATGGAGCAAGTGCAGCCATAGAGCAAGTTCAGCCATGGAGCAAGTGCAGCCATAGAGTAAGTGCAGCCATAGAGCAAGTGCAGCCATGGAGCAAGTGCAGCCATAGAGCAAGTGCAGCCATAGAGCAAGTGCAGCCATAGAGTAAGTGCAGCCATGGAGCAAGTGCAGCCATAGAGCAAGTTCAGCCATGGAGCAAGTGCAGCCATAGAGTAAGTGCAGCCATAGAGCAAGTGCAGCCATGGAGCAAGTGCATCTATAGAGCAAGTGCAGCCATAGAGCAAGTGCAGCCATAGAGCAAGTGCAGCCATGGAGCAAGTGCAGCCATAGAGCAAGTGCAGCCATAGAGCAAGTGCAGCCATAGAGCAAGTGCAGCCATAGAGCAAGTGCAGCCATGGAGCAAGTGCAGCCATGGAGCAAGTGCAGCCAGCGAGCAAGTGCAGCCGTAGAGCAAGTGCAGCCATAGAGCAAGTGCAGCCATAGAGCAAGTGCAGCCATAGAGCAAGTGCAGCCATAGAGCAAGTGCAGCCATGGAGCAAGTGCAGCCATAGAGCAAGTGCAGCCATAGAGCAAGTGCAGCCATAGAGCAATTGCAGCCATAGAGCAAGTGCAGCCATAGAGCAATTGCAGCCATAGAGCAAGTGCAGCCATGGAGCAAGTGCAGCCATAGAGCAAGTGCAGCCATAGAGCAAGTGCAGCCATAGAGCAAGTGCAGCCATGGAGCAAGTGCAGCCATAGAGCAAGTGCAGCCATAGAAGGCAAGTGCAGCCATAGAGGAAGTGCAGCATGAAATGCAGCCATAGGAGCAAGTGCAGCCATAGAGCAAGTGCAGCCATGAGAGCAAGTGCAGCCATAGAGCAAGTGCAGCCATAGAGCAAGTGCAGCCATAGAGCAAGTGCAGCCATGGAGCAAGTGCAGCCATAGAGCAAGTGCAGCCATAGAGCAAGTGCAGCCATAGAGCTAGTGCAGCCATGGAACAAGTGCAGCCATAGAGCAAGTGCAGCCATAGAGCAAGTGCAGCCATAGAGCAAGTGCAGCCATAGAGCAAGTGCAGCCATGGAGCAAGTGCAGCCATAGAGCAAGTGCAGCCATAGAGCAAGTGCAGCCATAGAGCAAGTGCAGCCATGGAGCAAGTGCAGCCATAGAGCAAGTGCAGCCATAGAGCAAGTGCAGCCATAGAGCAAGTGCAGCCATAGAGCAAGTGCAGCCATGGAGCAAGTGCAGCCATGGAGCAAGTGCAGCCAGAGAGCAAGTGCAGCCGTAGAGCAAGTGCAGCCATAGAGCAAGTGCAGCCATGAGAGCAAGTGCAGCCATAGAGCAAGTGCAGCCATAGAGCAAGTGCAGCCATAGGAGCAAGTGCAGCCATAGAGCAAGTGCAGCCATAGAGCAAGTGCAGCCATAGAGCAATTGCAGCCATAGAGCAAGTGCAGCCATAGAGCAATTGCAGCCATAGAGCAAGTGCAGCCATGGAGCAAGTGCAGCCATAGAGCAAGTGCAGCCATAGAGCAAGTGCAGCCATAGAGCAAGTGCAGCCATGGAGCAAGTGCAGCCATAGAGCAAGTGCAGCCATAGAGCAAGTGCAGCCATAGAGGAAGTGCAGCCATGGAGCAAGTGCAGCCATAGAGCAAGTGCAGCCATGGAGCAAGTGCAGCCATAGAGCAAGTGCAGCCATAGAGCAAGTGCAGCCATAGAGCAAGTTCAGCCATGGAGCAAGTGCAGCCATAGAGCAAGTGCAGCCATAGAGCAAGTGCAGCCATAGAGCTAGTGCAGCCATGGAACAAGTGCAGCCATAGAGCAAGTGCAGCCATAGAGCAAGTGCAGCCATAGAGCAAGTGCAGCCATAGAGCAAGTGCAGCCATAGAGCAAGTGCAGCCATAGAGCAAGTGCAGCCATGGAGCAAGTGCAGCCATAGAGCAAGTGCAGCCATAGAGCAAGTGCAGCCATCGAGCAAGTGCAGCCATGGAGCAAGTGCAGCCATGGAGCAAGTGCAGCCATAGAGCAAGTGCAGCCATAGAGCAAGTGCAGCCATAGAGCAAGTGCAGCCATAGAGCAAGTGCAGCCATAGAGCAAGTGCAGCCATAGAGCAAGTGCAGCCATGCAGCTAGTGCAGCCATAGAGCAAGTGCAGCCATAGAGCAAGTGCAGCCATAGAGCAAGTGCAGCCATAGAGCAAGTGCAGCCATAGAGCAAGTGCAGCCATGGAACAAGTGCAGCCATAGAGCAAGTGCAGCCATGGAGCAAGTGCAGCCATAGAGCAAGTGCAGCCATGGAGCAAGTGCAGCCATAGAGCAAGTGCAGCCATGGAGCAAGTGCAGCCATCGAGCAAGTGCAGCCATGGAGCAAGTGCAGCCATAGAGCAAGTGCAGCCATCGAGCAAGTGCAGCCATGGAGCAAGTGCAGCCATAGAGCAAGTTCAGCCATAGAGCAAGTGCAGCCATGGAGCAAGTGCAGCCATAGAGCAAGTGCAGCCATAGAGCAAGTGCAGCCATAGAGCAAGTGCAGCCATGGAGCAAGTGCAGCCATAGAGCAAGTGCAGCCATGGAGCAAGTGCAGCCATAGAGCAAGTACAGCCATAGAGCAAGTGCAGCCATAGAGCAAGTGCAGCCATGGAACAAGTGCAGCCATAGAGCAAGTGCAGCCATGGGAGCAAGTGCAGCCATAGAGCAAGTGCAGCCATGAGCAAGTGCAGCCATAGGCAAGTGCAGCCATAGAGCAAGTGCAGCCATAGAGCAAGTGCAGCCATAGAGCAAGTGCAGCCATAGGAGCAAGTGCAGCCATGGAAGGCCAGCAAGTCAGCTGGCAAGTGCCATAGAGCAAGTCAGCCATACAAGTGCAGCCATAGAGCAAGTGCAGCCATAGGAGCAAGTGCAGCCATAGAGCAAGTGCAGCCATAGAGCAAGTGCAGCCATAGAGCAAGTGCAGCCATAGAGCAAGTGCAGCCATGGAGCAAGTGCAGCCATAGAGCAAGTGCAGCCATAGAGGCAAGTGCAGCCATGAAGCAAGGGCAGCATGAGCAGGCAGCCATAGAGCAATCAGATGAGCAAGTGCAGCCATAGAGCAAGTGCAGCATAGCAGTGCAGCCATAGAGCAAGTGCAGCCATAGAGCAAGTGCAGCCATAGAGCAAGTGCAGCCATAGAGCAAGTGCAGCCATAGAGCAAGTGCAGCCATAGAGCAAGTGCAGCCATAGAGCAAGTGCAGCCATGGAGCAAGTGCAGCCATAGAGCAAGTGCAGCCATAGAGCAAGTGCAGCCATAGAGCAAGTGCAGCCATAGAGCAAGTGCAGCCATGGAGCAAGTGCAGCCATAGAGCAAGTGCAGCCATAGAGCAAGTGCAGCCATAGAGCAAGTGCAGCCATGGAGCAAGTGCAGCCATAGAGCAAGTGCAGCCATGGAGCAAGTGCAGCCATAGAGCAAGTGCAGCCATGGAGCAAGTGCAGCCATAGAGCAAGTGCAGCCATAGAGCAAGTGCAGCCATAGAGCAAGTGCAGCCATGGAGCAAGTGCAGCCATAGAGCAAGTGCAGCCATAGAGCAAGTGCAGCCATAGAGCAAGTGCAGCCATAGAGCAAGTGCAGCCATAGAGCAAGTGCAGCCATAGAGCAAGTGCAGCCATGGAGCAAGTGCAGCCATAGAGCAAGTGCAGCCATGAGCAAGTGCAGCCATAGAGCAAGTGCAGCCATAGAGCAAGTGCAGCCATAGAGCAAGTGCAGCCATAGAGCAAGTGCAGCCATGGAGCAAGTGCAGCCATAGAGCAAGTGCAGCCATAGAGCAAGTGCAGCCATAGAGCAAGTGCAGCCATGGAGCAAGTGCAGCCATAGAGCAAGTGCAGCCATAGAGCAAGTGCAGCCATAGAGCAAGTGCAGCCATGGAGCAAGTGCAGCCATAGAGCAAGTGCAGCCATTGAGCAAGTGCAGCCATAGAGCAAGTGCAGCCATGGAGCAAGTGCAGCCATAGAGCAAGTGCAGCCATCGAGCAAGTGCAGCCATGGAGCAAGTGCAGCCATAGAGCAAGTGCAGCCATAGAGCAAGTGCAGCCATGGAGCAAGTGCAGCCATAGAGCAAGTGCAGCCATAGAGCAAGTGCAGCCATAGAGCAAGTGCAGCCATGGAGCAAGTGCAGCCATAGAGCAAGTGCAGCCATAGAGCAAGTGCAGCCATAGAGCAAGTGCAGCCATGGAGCAAGTGCAGCCATAGAGCAAGTGCAGCCATAGAGCAAGTGCAGCCATAGAGCAAGTGCAGCCATGGAGCAAGTGCAGCCATAGAGCAAGTGCAGCCATGGAGCAAGTGCAGCCATAGAGCAAGTGCAGCCATAGAGCAAGTGCAGCCATAGAGCAAGTGCAGCCATGGAGCAAGTGCAGCCATAGAGCAAGTGCAGCCATAGAGCAAGTGCAGCCATAGAGCAAGTGCAGCCATGGAGCAAGTGCAGCCATAGAGCAAGTGCAGCCATAGAGCAAGTGCAGCCATAGAGCAAGTGCAGCCATGGAGCAAGTGCAGCCATGGAGCAAGTGCAGCCAAAGAGCAAGTGCAGCCATAGAGCAAGTGCAGCCATAGAGCAAGTGCAGCCATGGAGCAAGTGCAGCCATAGAGCAAGTGCAGCCATAGAGCAAGTGCAGCCATAGAGCAAGTGCAGCCATGGAGCAAGTGCAGCCATAGAGCAAGTGCAGCCATGGAGCAAGTGCAGCCATAGAGCAAGTGCAGCCATGGAGCAAGTGCAGCCATAGAGCAAGTGCAGCCATGGAGCAAGTGCAGCCATAGAGCAAGTGCAGCCATAGAGCAAGTGCAGCCATCGAGCAAGTGCAGCCATGGAGCAAGTGCAGCCATAGAGCAAGTGCAGCCATAGAGCAAGTGCAGCCATAGAGCAAGTGCAGCCATAGAGCAAGTGCAGCCATAGAGCAAGTGCAGCCATGGAGCAAGTGCAGCCATAGAGCAAGTGCAGCCATAGAGCAAGTGCAGCCATCGAGCAAGTGCAGCCATGGAGCAAGTGCAGCCATAGAGCAAGTGCAGCCATGGAGCAAGTGCAGCCATGGAGCAAGTGCAGCCATAGAGCAAGTGCAGCCATAGAGCAAGTGCAGCCATGGAGCAAGTGCAGCCATAGAGCAAGTGCAGCCATAGAGCAAGTGCAGCCATGGAGCAAGTGCAGCCATGGAGCAAGTGCAGCCATAGAGCAAGTGCAGCCATAGAGCAAGTGCAGCCATGGAGCAAGTGCAGCCATAGAGCAAGTGCAGCCATAGAGCAAGTGCAGCCATAGAGCAAGTGCAGCCATGGAGCAAGTGCAGCCATAGAGCAAGTGCAGCCATAGAGCAAGTGCAGCCATAGAGCAAGTGCAGCCATGGAGCAAGTGCAGCCATAGAGCAAGTGCAGCCATAGAGCAAGTGCAGCCATAGAGCAAGTGCAGCCATGGAGCAAGTGCAGCCATAGAGCAAGTGCAGCCATAGAGCAAGTGCAGCCATAGAGCAAGTGCAGCCATGGAGCAAGTGCAGCCATAGAGCAAGTGCAGCCATAGAGCAAGTGCAGCCATCGAGCAAGTGCAGCCATGGAGCAAGTGCAGCCATAGAGCAAGTGCAGCCATAGAGCAAGTGCAGCCATGGAGCAAGTGCAGCCATAGAGCAAGTGCAGCCATAGAGCAAGTGCAGCCATGGAGCAAGTGCAGCCATAGAGCAAGTGCAGCCATAGAGCAAGTGCAGCCATAGAGCAAGTGCAGCCATGGAGCAAGTGCAGCCATAGAGCAAGTGCAGCCATAGAGCAAGTGCAGCCATAGAGCAAGTGCAGCCATGGAGCAAGTGCAGCCATAGAGCAAGTGCAGCCATAGAGCAAGTGCAGCCATAGAGCAAGTGCAGCCATGGAGCAAGTGCAGCCATAGAGCAAGTGCAGCCATGGAGCAAGTGCAGCCATAGAGCAAGTGCAGCCATAGAGCAAGTGCAGCCATAGAGCAAGTGCAGCCATGGAGCAAGTGCAGCCATAGAGCAAGTGCAGCCATAGAGCAAGTGCAGCCATAGAGCAAGTGCAGCCATGGAGCAAGTGCAGCCATAGAGCAAGTGCAGCCATAGAGCAAGTGCAGCCATAGAGCAAGTGCAGCCATGGAGCAAGTGCAGCCATAGAGCAAGTGCAGCCATGGAGCAAGTGCAGCCATAGAGCAAGTGCAGCCATAGAGCAAGTGCAGCCATAGAGCAAGTGCAGCCATGGAGCAAGTGCAGCCATAGAGCAAGTGCAGCCATAGAGCAAGTGCAGCCATAGAGCAAGTGCAGCCATAGAGCAAGTGCAGCCATGGAGCAAGTGCAGCCATAGAGCAAGTGCAGCCATAGAGCAAGTGCAGCCATAGAGCAAGTGCAGCCATGGAGCAAGTGCAGCCATAGAGCAAGTGCAGCCATAGAGCAAGTGCAGCCATAGAGCAAGTGCAGCCATGGAGCAAGTGCAGCCATAGAGCAAGTGCAGCCATAGAGCAAGTGCAGCCATGGAGCAAGTGCAGCCATAGAGCAAGTGCAGCCATAGAGCAAGTGCAGCCATAGAGCAAGTGCAGCCATGGAGCAAGTGCAGCCATAGAGCAAGTGCAGCCATAGAGCAAGTGCAGCCATAGAGCAAGTGCAGCCATGGAGCAAGTGCAGCCATAGAGCAAGTGCAGCCATGGAGCAAGTGCAGCCATAGAGCAAGTAGCCATAGAGCAAGTGCAGCCATAGAGCAAGTGCAGCCATGGAGCAAGTGCAGCCATAGAGCAAGTGCAGCCATGAGCAAGTGCAGCCATAGAGCAAGTGCAGCCATGGAGCAAGTGCAGCCATAGAGCAAGTGCAGCCATAGAGCAAGTGCAGCCATGGAGCAAGTGCAGCCATAGAGCAAGTGCAGCCATAGAGCAAGTGCAGCCATGGAGCAAGTGCAGCCATAGAGCAAGTGCAGCCATAGAGCAAGTGCAGCCATAGAGCAAGTGCAGCCATGGAGCAAGTGCAGCCATAGAGCAAGTGCAGCCATAGCCATAGCAAGTGCAGCCATAGAGCAAGTGCAGCCATGGAGCAAGTGCAGCCATAGAGCAAGTGCAGCCATAGAGCAAGTGCAGCCATAGAGCAAGTGCCATGAGCAAGTGCACCATGGAGCAAGTGCAGCCATTAGAGCACAAGTGCAGCCATCGGAGCAAGTGAGCATGGAGTGCAGCCATAGAGCAAAGTGCAGCCATAGAGCAAAGTGCAGCCATAGAGCAAGTGCAGCCATGGAGCAAGTGCAGCCATAGAGCAAGTGCAGCCATAGAGCAAGTGCAGCCATAGAGCAAGTGCAGCCATGGAGCAAGTGCAGCCATAGAGCAAGTGCAGCCATAGAGCAAGTGCAGCCATAGAGCAAGTGCAGCCATGGAGCAGAGTGGCAGCCATAGAAGGCCAAGGTGGCAGCCATAGGAGGCAAGTGCAGCCATAGAGCAAGTGCAGCCATAGAGAGCCAAGTGCAGCCATTAAGAGCAAGTTGCAAGCCATAGGAGCAAGTGGCAGCCCATAGAGCAAGATTGCAGCCATAGAGCAAGTGCAGCCATAGAGCAAGTGCAGCCATAGAGCAAGTGCAGCCATGAAGAGCAAGTGCAGCCATAGAGCAAGTGCAGCCATGGCGTCAGCATAGAGCCAAGTGCAGCCATGGAGCAAAGTGCAGCCATAGAGCAAGTGCAGCCATAGGAGCAAGTGCAGCCATAGAGCAAGTGCAGCCATGGAGCAAGTGCAGCCATAGAGCAAGTGCAGCCATAGAGCAAGTGCAGCCATGGAGGCAAGTGCCAGCCATAGAGCAAGTGGCAGCCATAGAGCAAGTGCAGCCATAGAGCAAGTGCAGCCATGGTGCAAGTGCAGCCATAGAGCAAGTGCAGCCATTATAGCAAGTGCAGCCATAGAGCAAGTGCAGCCATGGGAGCAAGTGCAGCCATAGAGCAAGTTGCAGCCATAAGAGCAAGTGCAGCCATGGAGCAAGTGCAGCCATGGAGCAAGTGCAGCCATAGAGCAAGTGCAGCCATAGAGCAAGTGCAGCCATAGAGCAAGTGCAGCCATGGAGCAAGTGCAGCCATGGAGCAACCCGCTTTCATCTCTTCATCTCCCTCCTTCCCCCTCGTCCCTATCCGTCAATTGCTTCATTCTCCCCTCTCCCCTCTGCCCGTCTCTCACCCCCACGTCCACCCCTCGTCCCCTCTCCCGAATGGTCCATCTCTCCGCGTCCTTGCAGTGGCACGGCCGTAACGCTGCACCAGTGCCTGTCGCTCATGAACTGCGTGTCCGATAACACCGCTGCTGACCTGGTCAGTGCCGCACCAGACGAGTGCATGCATGCGCTCAAGGAAAGGTGAGGAAGGCGAGGAAGGTGAGGAAGGTGAGGGTGAGAGTGAGGGCTACTTAACAGCAGGCCCGTAGGAGCTTCATAGGCTCTGTCAGGTCAGATAGAACGATTGCAAAAGACAGTGCACCTGTCTTATCCCTCCCTCCATACCACTTTCCCTCCTTTCCTCTCCCCCTCCCTCCCTCCCTCCCTCCCTCCCTCAGCGCAGGTGTTTAAGGCCATGGGTTGGCCATATGTGAGTGGTCTGCTAAACCAACTCAAAGGCTTATCCATGCCTCTCTCCCTCTCAAGCGGTCCTGCTCATTGATCAAATCCTGAGTACAATTAATAGGAAAGCAGGTCAAAACGAGCAAGAGCAGCTAGCAGAATAAGAGAAGCACAAATAGTAAGCACAACCAGCAAATCTGTCCCGAGCACCAGCCCTCCCCCCCTCAATCCCCCCCCCCCCCCCCCCCACAGAGTCTATGGCTCCTTGATATGCAAGGTAGAAAACAGGTCCCCAAGGGAAGGCGCCCAGAGATCGGCTCGGCGCCCAGGTCCCTCTCTCCCTCCCTCCCTGCCTTCCCCGGCGCAGGTGTTCAAGGCCGTGGGGTGGCCGTGTGTGAGCGGGCTGTTGCACTCACATGGCGCACGTGACACGTCCGTGCACCTCACACAGAGACAGGTGCTTGTGTGGGTGTGTTCGTGCATGCGTGCATGAATATGTGTGCAGGTGTGCGTGCGAGTGTGCATGTGCATGTGCATGTCTATGTGCATGTCTATGTGCATGTGCGTGTGTTGCTCGTTCTGCACCATGGCGGTTTTGTAAAACTGCCTCGGCATCGGTCTTGCCTTGCTGCTGCTGCATGCAGCCACCTCTTGTGACCCGCTTCACCACATTGCACCCTTCTCCCCCGCCCCCACTCTCTCCAGAAGCCAGACTCGAAACACATGTGCGCCCTCTCTCTCCTCCGCTCAGCCTCCCAGTTCCACTCAAAATCCTGCTCCAATTCTCACACGCCCGCGTCTCCCCTTAACCCAGGTGTTTGAGTGGCCGTCTCCTAGTTTAAAATGCATGTCCTCCCTCTCTCCTCCTCCCCTCCCCCCCACCCCCGCCGTGCACAGGCATATCTGCTGGCTCTCGGGCTGTGCTCAGACCTACGAGAGCCATATGGCAGGGCCAGGGCCGAGAGGTAACGTGCGTGTGCCAGTGTGTGTGCGGCAGTGAAGTGGTGTTCGGGGTGGCAGGGCTTGCTGCCAGGCAAGGTTGCAGGACATTCTGCAACATGCCTGCTGCCAGGCTATGGTGTATCATCATGCATGCCTCTCCAAGTGGCAAGGGATTGCTGAAAATGCATGGCATGAATTGGGGCATGTTCAGCATGCCATGCCATAAGGCACCACAACAACGAGTCCTTCCTTGAGACCCGGTTTTCTGGTCTGTGCACACGTGCCATTTCTGCATCCACACACCTTCTACCTTCCTCCGAGCTCCCTCCATTTTGAGGGTTTAGACCAAACTACACCTGCAGCCACGCACCGCCTACCTTACTAGCTCCTCCTTGTTCAGGGTTTAGGCCACACCTTGCTTGCACTCACATCCACACCAAATGCTCTTTCTCTCCTAGCAGGTGGCTTTTCAGAATTCTCAAAATCCCGGGTTCCCTTTCCCATTCCCCTTGCCTGGATTCGCTCTCACCACAACCCCCCATCCATCCATCTTGCACTTATCTCTGCCACTCACTGCATCTCCCCCCTCTGCCTTCCCCTTGCCTCCCCCTCCCCTTATTCACTGTCCCCTTCTCCCCGTCCTCTTGTTATCCTTTCCCCCCACTTGCTACACCTTGTCTCTTGCCCCTTTTTTGCATTTTCCCCCCCCCCACGATCATGCTACCCGTTTCCCCTCCTCTTGTTATCCGTCTCCTGGCACTCCCCGATGCCCCCTTTCCCCCGTTCCCCCGTTCCCCCCGTTCCCCCGTTCCCCCATTCCCCACGTTGCCCCCGTTCCCCCGTTCCCCCCGTTCCCCTGTTCTCCCCGTTCCCCCCATTCCCGCACTCCCCGTTCCCCCCTGCTGCAGCTGGCAGGGCCTCTCCCTGGCGCAGCAGAGGCGGGTGGCGGGGCGGGCAGAGGGGGAGAGCAGGGCAGTGAGTGTGGGGGACATGCGTGCACTGGAAGAGGCATCACTGCACGTGCAGAGGGTAGGTTAGGGGGTGGGAGGATAGGGGAATGGAGCAACATGCGGCATGTGTTGAGCAGCATCCAGAAAGCAACATGCTTGGCTGCACTAGTCATTTCTCCCACTGCATATCCCAGCTGTCCACACCTTGTGTGTGTCTGCATGCCATCCCTACTCTCGCCCCTACTCTCGCCCCTACTCTCGCCCCTACTCTCGCCCCTGCTCTGTCCAGGCACAGGGCGACAAGGGCTATCGCAATGACTACCGAAGTGAGTAGCAACCTTTCTGCCTTCTCCAACGCTCTCCCTCTCCTGTACCCCACCATGCGCCGAAACAAATGCCTCTAGCCCATGCCTTATCTCTGTTTTGCTGCCACGTGTTCTTGAGAAGCGTCTTGGCTGCCTGCCTCTATCACCAGCCATTCAGCCTGCACCTCAACTGTTTCACCGCATTGCCACCACGTGTCATCACCTCATCGTCCCTTGCCCCCTCTCTTTCCCGATCAAGGCTCTCTCCAGCCTGCGCCCTCTGCCTGCACCGCTCTGCCTGCACCTCTCGCCTGCACCTCTCGCCTGCACCTCTCTGCTTGCACCTCTCTGCTTTTCTCTTGCGCCTCGCACTTCCTTCCCATTGTAAACGCCCCGTGCCCCCCCCGCCACCCCTCCCCCACCAGTCGCAGCAGCGATGGACAACCAGGGGTCGCCAGCGGACATGGCGCATCTGCTGTCGGCACTGTGCTCTGCGCGCCTGCTGCCATCCCCCCCTGCCACGGGGCTCTGCCTGCACACCATGGCCATGCAGGTGGGAGCACCGCACCGCCTTCCTTCCATATGCCTACCCGCGCGCGCTCTTGTGTCGACTCAAAAGTCACCTTGCAGATGGCAGCACGGCACTGATTTACCTTCGTATCCCTACCCACGCTCACTGCCTGTTGGATGCTCACTCTCCCCTCCCTCTCCCGATAATCCTGATGGCCCTTCACTAGATATAGAATCGGTTGCAGCACACCAGCAGTAAGATGGTTGGGGTGCATGGGCCTACTAGGTACTAAGTGCGGGGTAGTGGACCGGACCAGCAACAAAGAACAGCTGTGGAACGGTTATCGCTGGGCCGCGTGGCCTGGATGGCCTGCGTGGTGTTCAGCACTTGCCAGTCGGAGCGCTGGCATGGCAGTGCTGCAGCAGGGCTGACCACTGCTGGCAGCAGTGACGCACCCACCCCGCTCCTGGGCAGTTGAGGTGCGGGGGTTATGGCGGAACCGCTGCGGAGCACATGCCGAGCTGGGGGGGTCGGGAAGGAGCGCGAGGTTCAAGGAAGCAATGCTCCGTATGCGGCCACTGTGAGCCCATGCTGCCCCTCCAGCCTCTCTGCCTGCACGCTGCTCGTACAGCCTGGCCTTGCCCCCCACGCCGCCACCTCCTCACCACCAGCTAAATCTGGGGACCGCCGCACCTTGCCCAGTGGCCGGTCACATAGCTGAAGCACGGGATCCGCCACTGTGATGCCCATGACCCTCCCTCTCTCCCTCCCACCCTCGTCTCCTCACTCTCCCTCGCTCACTCCTTCCTGCCTCCTTCCTCTGCCATGCTCGCTCGTGTTCTCTCCTTGCAGGAGTATGGGCGGCGCCGGCTGCCCTTCTACCTGCCCCCAAGCACGCCTGTGCTGCACAAGACAGGAAGGTCAGGCCGGGCCCAAGCCAGAGCGCGCTTGCGCTGCACCAGCACGCAACCTGCTGTCCCATGTGGGGCAGGTGTTGCTGAGAGAGCAAGCAGTCATAGTCCATGGGGAACCCCTCAGCTTGTGTGTGCGCGATGTGTCATGTCATGCATCTCTTCGTTTCTCAAGCGTCGCAAGAACCTTTCATCTCTTTCCTTCTGGATCGCTTGATATGCTTTTTCTTATACCAAACCCGCACTTCTTTCTCCTGTGTCCTCTCCCTGTTCCACCATGACTTCCCCTTTCCCCTCCCTCGTCCCAGCATTCTAGGCATCGTGAATGCAGCAGGAATCATCCCCTTGCCTCGACCACCTTCACCCCTGCTCGCTCACCGCACCCACTCCGTCAAACACCTGCCTTTGCTTCCCACCCAGCCAGCCTCACCTCACTCCTCCGTGTCTTCCTCACCATCCACATCCTTCACAGCTCCACCACTGTCACCCTCCTCTCGCCTCCCTGCAATAGAGCATGCTGAGGGTAGGGACTGTATGCACCCATTGGCAGTGGGTGAGGGGGGTGCAGTGGTGGTGGCAGCATTTGTGGATGGGGTATGGAGGCAGCATGAGAGGGAGGCTGAGTATGTGATTGCGCGGGCTAGCAAGCTCGCATATGACACGTGGGGGGGAAATCGTCGGTTGCGCCGCATGCTGAGTGCTAGAGAGAGGAGACGATGGCTCTTACCAGAGTAACTTTCCCATTGACGATAGTGCCTCTGTTTGGTCATGGAATGTAGGGTATATTACATGTAATGCTTAGCCGATGCTCTCAGTTGTTTTTTGCGTGCACATAAGTCATGTTTGGTAGAGATTTGATACAAATGCCATTTCCTGGTCTGGAGACTGGACAGCTTTCCTCCCCAGCATCAAGAACCAATGTCTAAATACAATGTAAGAAGTTTTGAATAGGGCATAGATGTTGATATCTCGTCTCTGCTATTTTTGTAGGGTATGTATAGTGCCTCATGTATGCTGGAAATTATAAAAAACTTAAGGCATTTCCGGAGTCTCCCATGGGTGTACGAATACGCGAAGACTGCAACAACGAAGATTGCCGAGTCAACACCGCTACAGTACCACCGACGATTCACACTGGTTGACAACACCTCGCAGAGGTTACGAAAGGGCAATGGTCGCATACCGTTTGTTGTTGTTGAAAGTACATCAAAAGACTTAAGCGTTTCTGAAGTGTAACACTACACTCGAGGAAGATTGCAAGGGGTACGCGAGTCAACGGAGGTTACACGAGGGGGCGGACAAAGAACACGAAGGGTTTGGGACTCAAAGGGTCGCAACTGGAGGTTGCGACTGACCGTTACAACAGCACGGATGGTAACCGAAGCGACAATCGAGTCGCTGTACGACTCGATAAACCGCTACTGCAACTGTACTCTACAACTGTTTCTTACCTTCTATATATTGCTGTATGTTTGCCTTTTTATTATCACTTGTTCTCACATACTAGTACAAGGGTTCAACTGCCTCAACTTCCGCTGCACTACCCCAAGTCTTTACAGTTGGGACTTAGTCTCTGGAAAGATCCCAAGGGCTTTTCTCAGCCCAACATGGTATGAGAGCTGGTCAGAGACCAAACTCCCAGCAACTACGTTCTATCACCAACCTGCAACTCAACTCAATTCAACGACTTCATTGATTGCAAGACATGGACAGCAAGGGCAAGAAAGTCTCTACGGGCTCACCCAGCGGCCAAGAAACTCAACACGGCAACTCTGGTCTGCACACCTCAGGACTGCAGACAGAGACCGGGACTGCTCAAGAAACAACGGGAAGAGTACCAGAGATGGTTACTCCATCTCCCTCTTCAAGCGTGGACCCCAACCTTATGGAAAGGTTCTTCAGCTTCATGTCGCACTTCGACCAGCAGCAGCAGACAAGAACACCTGCGCATTCAACACAGAGCAA